ACAACAATAATTTTTATTGCATTATTCAGACTTTTCATGACAGGGAAAGGAAATTTCATTAGTGAGAGGAGCCAAACGATGAAAGCATTTGGAAAAACGAGATTGGAAAATTAATATCATTAAGTAAACAAGAAAGGTTATTAATGATGTGAAAGTGTTCAAAAGAACCCAGGTGATTAAATGAAGAAGCTTTATGGATAATTTTTGAAGATCATATTAAAAATGTAATTAAGTGACCTCCGCATTTAGCTAAAAAAAATTCTTTTTTCCTTTCGAAATTTAATTCATATTCCCTGACAAGAAATTTCAGCGCTTTTTCAATTTAGCCAACACCAAACGGCACGATAAATATCAAACAATGCTAAATTAACACAATAATTAAAAGAATATATCAGATCTTTAAGAATCGAAAAATGAATTTTTCTAATAAAGAAAAAAATAACTTAACTATTGAACTTATGGAGAAGTCGAGAAATTTTGTAATTGATAGTAAGTTTAAATAATTATTGGGTACGTGTCAGCTAAACGTCACTGTCGGCTTAGTGTCCTGTTCACTAAATGCATTGACAGTTAAGTGTTCCCTAGCCAAATGTCCTGATGGCTAACTCTCTGTGTTGGCTAAATGACCTGTCGGCTAAGTGTTTGTTTCGGCTAAAAGTCCTATCAGGTAAATGTCCATGTTGGCGGCTAAGTGTCCCTTTTGGCTAACTAGTGTCAGTTAAGTGTCCTGTCAGCAAAGTGTCCGCGACCAGAAGAATAGTACTACAGTCAAAAGTCGTTAATTCAGACACCCATAATCCGGACCTCAAAGCTAAAAACTTTCTGCGCATGCGCCGCGTTGACACATGCACATAGGCGTTTACGCGTGCACATAAGACCTTTTACGACTGCGCATATGCATTTGCGCAAGCGCAGAATACGTTTTCACGTGCACGTTTTATGTATAACGGACAGTATGAACTAAAATTATTTAATTATCTATTTCAGTTAATGTTGATGATTGCGTTTGTTTCTTAATCTTCGAATTGGATCCGGCTTATTATTTTTTGCAGACTGTAAGAGCAATATTATAAAAGTAAACTTGAACTTTCGATTATGTCAAATAGAATTTCCGATTCTGGAGCTCCCAAAGGATCGTACAAAATGAAAATATGTTTCGATGTCCATCAAACAAAAAGTGGAATTGCTGCAAAAAATGGATAAAGACATAAAGAATGTGACAGAGAGGTTAGTGAAAAAAAACGAAAAATTTTGATTGACAAGTTTGTCGGTATTCTCGGCACAGCAATTAACAGGACTTGAACAGCGGAACTTTGTAACTGAACAAGAAATTATGTCTGTTTTATAGAATTAAAGAGAAAGTATTATCCATAAAACGAAGCAACCTTAAACAACTTACATTGAAAGAAATGTTTAATAAAGTAAACCAAATAAATATTAAGCTTTTTTTTTGTAAATTTTGATACCCTTTAGATCATAATTGTTCTTTATTTCATAATTACGGTTTCATATTTTAATTTTAGAATTTCTGCATGCCATCTTACGAGATTTAAACTGATGATCTATAATGCGCAAAAATCGATAATCCGGAATCGCCGAAGTCCCGACGAGTCCGGATTAACGACTTTTGACTGTACTACACTAAATACAAATTTTGCATTTCTCAATGGTCATGAAATACTGAATATATCAGTCGAAGAACTGCAAAAGAATGCAGCAAACCTTGCACAAAAATATGAGTGGGACCTAAGCACATTTGAGTTCAGCTAGGACTTTACAGTTTTAATGATCAAGTTGCCACTATAATTTGGCAACAAGAAAAATGCTAGTGCTCTGTCTCTTGCAACAGATTACCTATGGATTGCAAGATGTATTTTACAATATCTGTATTGTGTTGCGGATTTATTCTGTGCTTCTGATCTGCAAGCTATGCTTGAAGTTTTATCAAATTAAAATTTATTAAGAACTATCTGTGATCATCGAGGAGCCAGGAACATTTATCAAGTCTTGCAATTCTGGGAATCAAAAATCAAACTGCACATCAAATTAATTATGACAATACCATATACTTAATTACAGAATAAAAGGCTTGCAGAGGTAAATGTTAATTTTTATTACTAATTCCATTATATTTTAATAATGTTAGAAGGTAAGAATCAGTGGCAACCTGCATTTTGTATTTCAATGGCCTCACCAGTGGCCAAGTGGTTAAGACCACTGAATATTGGTAGTTCGAGCTGGCTTAGGTTCAAACCCAGGCAAACGGACTGACTGCATAATTGGTTTTCATGGTTTTCCCAATGTGAAATGCGAATATGAGCCAGTTTCTCTTAGAAAGTCTTCCACGAAGGCATCCTTCCTGTTAGGTAATTAGCCCTCTTGACTTTGCCATATTCAAATAACTTAACCTAACCTAACCTGTATGCAATAAATACAGATTGGGGAGAAGCTTGAAGCGGATCCCCCTAGAGCAACAACACCGATGGTGGCAAGGCCTGGAGGATTACAGGCAACTTTCCTAGGAGAGGCCACACTGGTTTTTAATTACATAATTTCTGGTGCATATATTTTCTTTATAATAAAAAATGGCACATTAAAAATTCTTAGTATAAAATAGTTTTTTATGTTTCATCTCAAACCTTACCTTATTTCTATGTTTATTAAAAAAAAAATTCAAATTTGCTACATAAATTTAAAGGAGATTTAAGTTTTGGCCCTATCTGGAAAAAATTCCAAGATCCAGTGCTGCTCATATTAAATACAATATTATTATCTGTAAAAATAATCTTTTTTTCAAAAAAGTATTACCAACAAAAGGTTTTTAAAGTATGCCATTTTATTTCATTCTTTACTTATTGAAATAATTAATTTTAGAGATATCTGTTCAGAAATATTTAACCTAACATGATATAAACTGATGAACCAAGTAGGTTTTATCACTAGAAGAATCAAGCTGGCACATATGTTTTCCTAGCAAAAATTATTTGGCATGTTATCACGTAATGGAAAAGATCCAAATAATTTTTTGGTACTCTTTGTTCGACACAACCGTACCACAAAGTCACCAATCATTGCCAACTAATATTTCACTAGACTAACGTATGAAAAACAGAAGCCATTTTAAAAAATGGCTGCACACTGAAATTATTAAATGGTGGCACACCGAAATTAATACACTGAATTAATAAAATTAAAACAACTTCCATAATAAAACACTGAAAATTACATAAAACAAACATCCATGATGATATACTAAAAATTAAATGAAAACAGCAACAAATTAAATAAAGTAACAACAAAATAAAATTATATGATAGAACATTTAATATACTTTTTTCCCCCAGTCTTCTGTTCATGTGCATAGTGATCAGTTTTAACTTAAGAAAAAATCAGAGAACTGCAGAATTCTCAGCATCACAGAACAACCTGGCACTACTCTACATGTACACATCAACCTGCTTTAACTTAAAAAGAAATCAGAAAATTGCACAAAAAATAACTTCATCAAAAGCATATTCTTACACTCTCTACTACTAGGTGAAACATCATATTTCCGAAAAATTTTTTAAAACTGTTTCTCAATAGCAGCCAAATTCTGCAGTTGCATTACAAAGAAAAAAAAAATTTCCACACACCGATTACAACCAGCAGAAACTACAAACATGACCCTTGAATTTCAAATATGCATGCATTGCACCAACACAAAAGAATGCAGAACTATTAGCGGGCTGCCAGATATATATTTTCGTAAAATTCTGGATTGGCTTGTTTGGCGACATAGTGTTTTATCTGGTGATTCTAGTCAGAACTGGGTGTATATCAGCAAGCACCATTTTTTTAAACAATGTTTAAAAAATTAAAAAATGATGAAAAATATTTATCTTTTTAAATAGATATATTAGATATAGTTACACAAAAAGAACTTTATGCATTCTATGCACAGCAATTACTATGAAATAAAAATAGCTTAGTTAGTACAGTACACAGTCCATAATCCGGACGTCCATTATCCGGAATGATCTATAATCCGGACATCAAAGCCACAAACTTACAGATGCACGTAAAGCGTTTACGCATGCGCGTTTAATGCGCGCATACGCTACATATGCACATAAAGCCAGTAAAGTGTTTACACATGCGCGCTTCCGATAGTGAAGAAAGTGACAGAGAGGTAATTTAAAACGGAAAAATTTCAATTGACAAGTTGGTGGGTATTATCCGGGTATTCTCGACACAGCAATTGCAGGATTTGAACAGTGGAACTTTGTAACTGAACAAGAAATTATGTCTGTTTATAGAAGAGAGAATTAAAGAGAAAGTTTTAGCACAAAAAATGAAGCAACTTAAACAACTTACATTGAAAAAAATGTTTAATAAAGTAAACAAATAAATATTAAGCTTTTTTTTGTTGTAAATTTTGATATCCTTTAGATCATAATTGCTCTTTATTTCATAAATTACAGTTTCATATTTTTAACTATATAATTTCTGCATGCCATCTTACCAGATTTAAATTGATGATCTATAATCTGGGAAAACCCCTAATCTGGAATCGCTGAAGTCCCGATGAGTCCGGATTATGGACTTTGTACTGTATTATCGCTTAGTCAGCATTATCACACCATTTTCTACTTTGAGATTTCAATTATAATAATTTTTAAACATTTGAATTTTAAAAAGATTGTTGCCTATGTAAAATTTTAGTGCTAAGCACATGAATATGCTATTTATGCATATATGCTCTAAATATCATTAAGTCAGTAACCTAAATATTACAGAAATAAAATTAATGCTGAAATAACTTTTTTATATGTTTTCCCTCTAATGATTATTAAACAATGAATAAAAGAGTTTTTTTCCCAACTTCAGTTTGACTATTAATTTCTTGCTTTATATAGAAATTGTACATTGATATAAAAAAATACAGTTTTGTGTTCTGCATTGTATTTATTTCCAAAGAAATTCTAAGAAATTTTTCATATAGCTGATATTGAAAATACCTCATCTCCAGATTTTAAACTTTTTACTTTTTTTCCTACATACACTACAGTTCCAGAAAAGTCACGTCCAGGTGTTAAAGGAAACTCTGGTGGTGCAAGAGAGCATTTGGTAATTTTCTTCACTGTGTTGAATGCAGTTGCTCCATACCCTTCTAAAAATTTAAAACAATTGTTATATAAAATTTTGAAGCAATAAAAAGCAATTTATAGTAAAAAATGGATATTAGCACATTATAATTTGAAAGTAAAATATCACATTTCTTCAGTTATGCAACTGTAAGATAATATTCCTTATTTTCATATTACACCAATACGATGAATACTTTGAGTTTCCATAATCAGCAAGTACTATTTAGTATCGAATTTCTTTTTGATATTGAATGTTCAATACTGTTAATTATTTCATAATATTTCATTCCTTAAACAACAGAAGCAATGTAACTAAAGTTTTTTTAATGACTAGAACATGCAGAAACAAATAATTGGGTGTCCTTGATTCCAATGTAGCCTGAAAGAAGCAATTACATGAAAAATAACTGCCTTTTAGAATTAAAGAATCAAGTATCACTACACATCAGTTTTACAAAGTAATAAAATATGTGCTCAGCAAGAAATGTTACATCATTTAAGAAAGAACTAATATAATAAAATCCTAATGTAATCTGGAAAGCAGTTGAAATTATTTATCATATATACTGAGGCTGTTTGCACATTTTTTGATGATTCTGCTTTGCTATAAGTCTATTTTGAAAAATTTTTTTAACTGCAACTATATTTTTGAACTATACTATATTTTTGGAAGTATACATTATCATCTTTTACTTGACAGTTTTGATTTTCATGTAAAATGGCATTTTTAAAGAAGCACTGAATGGGAGAGTATGCACTCTTTCCGAAGAAAATTATTCGTACCTAGTTATTAAAAAGCACTGTGAAAGCCATGGTTTTTTTTATATCTAAAGCTACGACAGGTAATATTGTTAACAAGAATGGAAAATAACATCAAAGTCTGGCTTCAAGTAGAAAAATTGCTCCAAATAGATATCAAAGAAAAAAAGGAATATTTAGAATGTTGAAAAGTTAAGATCTTAAAAAAATCCGCAGTGTTAAAGTACAGTTGCAAAATCATTAAAATGCTCAGTGTTAACTATAAACAAAATGATTAATGCTGATTTGAATTCTAAAATGATGAAATAACATAACATGCATCATCTTTCTCTACGACATATCGCCGAATGCAGAACGTGCTGCAGAATTCTTTATGAGAAACATTTATCTGGACATTGATGGACAAATGTTGTCATGACAGATGAATCTTGGGTGTATTTAAATAACTGGAATAAAAAGAGATCCATTTATCATCATCAAAGAGGAGGAAAAAGTCTTAAAACATAGTTCAAAGGATTTAAAATAAGATTTTTCAAAGGGATTTATGATTGCTGCTGGTTTTACATATAACGACAAATTAAAAATAATGAGAATGGAGAAAAATGTGAAGATCAACTCCACATATTATCAGGAACATATTTTATAACAGATTTTCAAATATGAATACCTTCTCTTTATCTCATCAATCAACAGAACAACATCAAGACAGAGCAAGCAGCCACTGGTCAAAATCCACTGTTAATTTCCTGGAAAAAATGGAACAAAAAATGGGTATCAAGGCCATACCCTTCACTTATATCCCCACTAAATCTCCTGATGTATGACCCACGAATTTTTGCGCTTACGGATTTTTAAAAAGCAGATTGTCGAAACGTCGACCTACAACACTCCTTGGATTTTGGAGTCCTTTTCAAGAGGAATGGGATAAAATACCTCTTCCGATTCTACAAAAGGCTTTACAATCTTGAAAATTATGGTGTAGAAACACAGTGAAGAATAAAGGTTTTTAGAGAACAACCTCTGTATTTTACAAGAAAACTGCTTATTACTACATAGCAAATCTTATGTGTGCAATGCATTCCAATTTAAAAACTTTGGATTACAAGTCTAATTTAAAGAAATGATAAGCTAAAAATAATAACAATTGGGGGCGGGGTAACTAGAAAATTTCTGATATAAAAAATCATAAAAATTCATCAAAGCAATTCAACATACACATCCTATAATATTGCATCAAAAATATGCACGAGAATTCAGTTGTTTTTTAGCCTTTCTCTCACATTTCTATATACTAAAATTTCTTGCATTCTTATTGCAAGCAATTATTTTATAATTTTTTTTTCCAATAAATTACTTATGAAACAGTTACATATAGAAACATCTGATCTTATTTTAAAAATATTACATCATTTACTTTTTAACGCACTTATTTTCTTTTTCTAATATAACATTTGGCTTTATACCTCCTGTCAACCTACATACGTAGGTAAGGAAATTAATGATTTTGGGCCAAAAATTTGAAAGCAATACTCAATCAGAGCCATAGCTAGAGTTTTCAGCACCAAGGGATAACTGAAGTTTTTGTGTCCCCTTCTGTTTGACAAATATAGAAAACATTTCATTCTAAAATTCTGCAACATTAATTTGGCATCCCCTGGATGCTGTGCCCAAGGACAAATGTTCCCCTTTACTTCTTCTTGCCCCTGATATCAATTGTTAATAAGCATAAATTAGGGTCCCTATAACACTTTTTACTATTTTTACAGTGATGTCTGTATTTCAGTGTACATATGTGTGATGATTTTTTCATCCACAATAACTCTATATCAAACTCCCCCAAAATTCCTGTTTTCAGTATAAAAAGTTGATTATACTTTTGGTAGAACCAGTTAACCAGACGTGGTACTTCACATAAAGTAAGGTTTTTAATGGGCAACCAGATATGGTATTTTATTTTAAACCTGTAACAGCTTTAATGAAAAGCTATGTTAAAAAACAATCCAAAACTTTTAAATTTTAATATTTAATATTTTTACACCAATGAGAACAGTATATTAGATTTTGGTTACAACTGATACACAGGAAGTGATACTTAAAGCTTTGACAATATTTTCATGAAAAAATGTATGTACATACATATATCACATTAACTATGAAAGATGGTGATAGTCCTGCCAAAGCTGTGTCAATAGTTCCAGCAGAATTCTGAAAGAACTAATGCTTCTTTATTTAATAAACAATAAATATTCAATCTGCTTCACTTTCGCACTTTGTAGGAAGGCTTTTATCAATTTCTACTATTTTGTCAGGCCCTTCAATTTTACTAGAAGTTCTGTTTCGAATACAGTAGAACTCCAATTATCCGAATCAATTGGGACCAGACCCCCTTCAGATAACTGGATTTTTTCCAAAGAAAGGGTCTACTACATTTTAATTAATTATTGTATGCTGAAAATGGAAGGAAAAAAAACTATTTTTAAAGAAAAATAAGTTTTAATTAATTAAAATGAAAAGGCAACACTTTTACATACATGCTATGTAGCGTACTGTACGGTACTCAACAGTGCTGAAAGTCATTGGTTGCTGAACATCTTGGTCAAAGTAAGCTGTTTGACTGTCTTCATCCGCTTCTGGGCAGCCAAGTCGCGAAACCGCTTGACAATGAGAAGTTGCATGTGGTCACACTCAGGCTGACGCTGCAGCCACTTTAATGCAGTTTCAAGGCTGGTAAACACTTCAGTAGCTGATGGTTCCATGTCTGCTTCAACTTCGATATTAAGGTCATCTTCTTTTCGACACTTTCTTCCCCCACACTTTCAGCAAGTTCATCATCATTTAGAATTTGAAACCCCAGGCCTGAAAAACCACACACCATCCATTCTGCTGTATCCTCACCACTAACTTCTGAACATCCAGAAGTTTTCAAAAGAATGTTTCATAATTCCTCAAATGACACTCATTCTCATCTTCTCCTATCTCTTTCCTTTCGTTTTCTTGAGCTACTTTTCTCTTTTTCTCCTTTATCTTCTGTTGATTCTGAAAGCGATTCAGATAGTCAGAGTTTGGATAATTGGAGTTGTACTCTACTATTATAGTGAACTTCCTGCAGGTAACTGTTCTAATCTGTTACCATTTTCTCTACCATATTCAGCTGACCATATGGTGTCTGTTAATACACACCTTTCTTGAACCTAAGATCCCAAAGCATTGGGGAAAATATATATATATATATATATATACCGCTTGCTATTTTTTGTCCAAATTTTAATAAACTTTTTTTTTTTCAAATGGCAAGAAAAAATATAACAATATCAGTTAATTTATATCCTTATTCCTAATAACAAAAGGTGGCTTACTGACAATGAATTGGAGTTACACCAAATGAAAACACAGATGTTATGAGTATGTTTTTACTTCATAGTTATTCATAAATGGTATTAAATTGCACTGCTGGGTGGCAATGTCATGATCAACCTAAGTACTAAAATACATAATGGTATGATCCCAAACTTCACAAATTTGGTATTTAAAGCTCATATGTTATTGAGAACCACCTATCACATTTATACGTATTAAATGTAGTCTTGGAATTACGCTAAATGCAGTGAGTATAAGCTCATTATGAAGCTCTCATTAGGAAGCACTTATATATATTAGTCTCAATTCTCAATTTTTTTTTTTGGTCCATTTTGCTTTTCTCTCAAATAACTTTTCAAAATAAAGAATGTTGCCACCAAATATTAATATTATGTATTATTTTTAAAGAAATAATACAGCAAATATAACAACATAACAAATATAAAAAATGTATGGCAACATTTAATTTAATTTTAATTAAAATTTTAGTTTGAGAAGAAAATATTTGACCCATATTGAAAAATGGTGTATTACACACGATTTTTCCCAGTTCTTTGAGCTGTTTGATTGCGAAAATGCAGTCTCACATAAGGATTTGCCAACTCTCTCAAATCAGGGTTGCCACTCAAACAGGAGAATGAAATTCCCTGACTTTTCCAGGTTTTCCAGGTGCGTTTCAAGAAAATTCCAGTCTATCCGCGTAATGTACGTGGCTACGCTAAGAGGTAAATTATGGTATTACTTGTATTGTGTAGCAATCACTAATTTCAATAATCCCAGAGGACATTATTCTTAATATTCTTGGTATACTTGTTTGATAATTTGTTACTTTTCACTTAGAAACTTAATAAATTTAAGATATATACATTGGATAACAAATGTATGTTTTTTATTTAATTATTACTCA